CATGGGCCTCCTGCCTCTGTGACAGCCTGTTCTGTGGCTTCCCTGCCTGGGCTGGGCCACGCCGCCTCTGGCGCTCCCACCTGTCTGCTGCCTACCACTGTGTGAGACACCACTCCTTCCAACACCCTTCTACTCCCAGGCCTCAGGCCCAGGGCCTCCCTGGACCCAGCTGGGTAAACCTGCCCCCGCCCTGTCACCTGGCAGCCCCTTTGTTTCTAGTTTTCTCTGTGAAAACAGAGACGGAGCAGATCTGCCAGGGGTGCTATGGGCTGAGACACATCCAGTCCCTTGTGCAAGGGGTGTGCACAAATGCAGCAATACAGGGTCCCAACCCCACACCTACTGTTTGAAGCAGTGTGAGCCTGCAAGGTCACTCACCCTCCCCCAGGCTGAGTTTCCTGAAGAGAATCGGTTCTGTTTTTGTGTGGTCCCTGGATTCTGGCAGAATCGGCTTTGTCCCTGTTTGGACCCTCGGAGACGGGCTCCCTCCAGAGCACCCATCCTCTCCACCCCCAGGGAAGTGTGGCAGCGTGGGGAGTCCCCACCACACCCCCAAGTCTGGCTGACCAGGTCTACGCTGAACACGGAGTGCTTGGTGTTTGTTCAGGGGTTGAATGGCGCCAAACGAGCTGGGGAACTCCCTTGGTCACGCCCGCTGTGTGTGCTCTGCAGAAGCAAACACAGCTCAAAGACCAGCTTTGTTGCTTCCTGGACCGAGTCCTGTCCTCCAAGGACAAGCTGGCCATCAGTGCCCAAGCTGCTTTGCAGGCCCCAGACCTTCCTTCTGGGTGCCCACTCGTGCCTATGCCCCTGGCTGCCTCCAAGCCTTCCAGAACCCCTTCCAGATTCTCCTAGGGCCTAGGCTCCCTTTCTTCATAAGCTCCAAGTTTATTTCATTTTATTTTTTAAGATTTATTTATTTACTTGAAAGAGTTACAGAGAGGGAGAGACGGAGAGAGACAGACAGACAGACAAATCGATCTTCCATCTGCTGGTTCACTTCCTAGAAGGCCACTACAGCTAGGACCGAACCAGGCTGAAGTCAGGAGCCAGGAGCATCATCCAGGTCTGGGCAGGGTCCCAAGCACTTGGGCCATCTTCTGCTGCTTTGCCCAGATCACGAGTAGGGAGCTGGGTCGGAAGTGGAGCAGCAGAGACTTGAATCAGGGCCCAAACGGGATGCCAGCACTGCAGGCAATGTTTTTACCTGCTCCACCACAACACAGACCACATAAGGCCCCAGTGCAGCCCTGTGGGAGGCCCCTACATGCAGCTCTGCCCTTCAGCAGACTCACAGGCTCTTTGCCATGACCAGCAGGCAGACCTCTTGGAGAGCAGACCCCCAGGGAGGCAGGGTTCCCGGAGCCTGGAGCTGGGCCAGACAGACCACACTAAAATAAGGACTTCTTGAATTCTCGCCCCTGACTGCTCTCCGGGGCCCTGGAGTGGTCAGTGCTGCAGACAGGGTATTCTAAGAAGGAGGAAACCAGTGATTCAGATCTCTCTGGAATCCAGGCTGTTGACTGGAGGAAAGGAACTGGCCCTTGAAGGAGGGAGATGTCAGCACCCAGGAGCTGAGCCTGAGTGGGCGGACTCCATTCAAAGACCTGTGACCCCTGGCCAGGGTCCAGCAGGTGTCCGAGCTGTCTGGGCAGCCCCACTGCCTCACCGGAGGCACCCTCAAGCACAGGCTCACCCTCACCCAAGGCTTGGGGCAGTTTCCTGGGCTGGCCTCTAAGCTGAACTCACGGTCAGCCTGAGGTTGTTCCTGCCCCACCCCTTCCCTCTCCCTCCCTCTAGGCTCAAGCCCAAGGGCATCTCCCAAGGGTGTCTGCTCTGGCTGGAGCCTGCCAGCCCTGTCTGCACATGGAAGAAAGAGCCTCGTGGTTTCTCCTGACCTTGGACAGATCTGGCCACACACAGGCGGCCTGAGCATTGCACCCTGAGCCTCTTGGGGTTCCCCGGAAGAACGAGGTTACCGAGTATGGCCCCCAAGGCAGCAAGAGCAAAAGCCTGCACCCTGTTAAATCTCCCTTGTGGGGCCAGCGCTGTGGTGCAGCGGGTTAACACATCCCTATGGGCACTGCTCTGCTTCCAATCCAGCTCTCTGCTATGGCCTGGGATAGCAGAAGAAGATGTCCCAAGTCCTTGGGCTCCTACACCCGCGTGGGAGACCCAGAAGAAGCTCCTGGATCCTGGCTTCGGATTGGTGCAGTTCTGGCTGTTGCGGCCAATTGGGGAGTGAACCAGTGGATGGAAGACCTCTCTCTCTCTCTCTCTCTCTCTCTCTCTCTTTCTCTCTCTCTCCCTCTCTCTGCCTCTCCTCTCTCTGTGTGACTCTGACTTTCAAATAAATAAATTTTTTTTTAAGCACCTATTTCAAAATCAAGAACAACTGCTAAGAAGCAGTGTTTAAAAAAAAATCTCCCTCGTGCCTTCCCTCTCTCTGGGTCGTGGCCAAGGGGTGAGCTAAGATAGTAACTCCGTAACAGTGATAATGTTGTTAATAGCACATGTTGGTGAACACCTTGTGTGTGCCAGCCTCTCTGCTGGGTGCTAGGGAAACAGAAATAAACAGACACAGCCTCCGCCTCCGTGGATGCTTTGGCCCAGCCATGGGCAGGCACAGGCCTTGATATATGGACAGCACTCAATACATATCTGTTGAATGAACGACGAATGCATGAAATGAGCAGTCTGGTTGTACTCTGGAGCACAGATACCTGGTGGGGTACACAGCAAAGATGTGAAGCCTGTGAAGGCACACAGGAGGCAGGACCCTCCACCACCCATCCCCACTTTGGAGAGGGCTCCCAGACCCAGTGGTGGTGCCCAGTGCCATACAGACTCAGCAACACAGCAGTCCCGGAGAACCAAGGCCATGAAAGGGGAAAGGAAATCCTGAGCACTTACTGGAGTGAGTTTTGGGGGGAAATGGTAGGATCTGCTCTCTGGAACCCAAGCAACCTCAGGAGTGCTCTGCAGTGTGGACCTTAAGGTCTGCTCCAGCCTCTGGGCACACAGCCTGGCCAGGCCTCTCTCAGAGGTGAGCCTCTGATGTTCTCTCAAGTCAGAGAGGCTGTCAGGGGTCCATGTGGGGGACAGAAAGCATGGACCTGGGCATCTTGTGTATCAGATTCTCTAGGGGTCATTCCCCACCCCACCCATTGTCCAGGGGGCAGGAAGAACATGCAGAGTACCCCTGCTGGGAGGGGTTACACACTGCCCCAGACAGAAGCAAGCAGGCAACCAGGGGATTTCAGAATTGGGGGAGGAAGGGAGCAGTCCCGGGATGTACTCACTGGGAGAACAAAGCCAAGTCTGAGATGGAGATTCAGGAGTCCACTAAGAGGTACCCAGGATGGAAGCCATCAGACTGCCACACATCCCTTCTCCAAGCAAGGTTCTGAACTGTTTGCATTCACCATGACTCCTGACCCAGAGGACAGTCTCAGACCATGGCAGCCAGTGACGAGGGGTGGTTGCCCTCTCCACTTCCTTTGCTGGGCCTTGGTTCTGGAGGGCTTCTGGGCTATGGACCTCAGAGAGACCGTCTCCTGCAAGCCCTTCCCCCTGCATCTACCTGGGCCCAAGAATGCAGGGGGCTGAGCAAAAACCTCCTCCACCACAGAGTACTGAGAGCCCTGTGGCTGCTGTTCTGGGGGTCCAGACATCCCCAGATACACAGTACACCCACTACACACACACACACCACAGCCGCACACACCACTCATGGGGCTTTCTCTCCCCGCTGAACACAGAGCAGCACCCCACCTCCCAGGAAGGCATCCACATTCCACCCGGAAGGAACCCCCTTCCTTGGACCACCCTAGCCTTGCACTTCTCAAGTCTCCCCCCTCCTTGGGTGTTAGGGACCCAGGGGCCATGCCTCACCCTGCAATCAGTGAGCATCCTCAGAGCAGCACAGCCCTTACAGGAGCTTGGATAAGAGGACACGGACCCCTCAAGAACATTGGATGAACTGGGGCCTCAAAGAGCTGTGCAAAGCAGCAAAGCGTTCCCTGGATGTAGCCACACAGAGTGCCCAGCCAGTCAGTGGGCCTCGGCCACGCCAGGGGCATCCCTGGAAGCTGTTCAAGGACATCTGTGGAGGACAATGGTTGAGAGTGGAGAAGGGCTCTGGGAAGGGCTGCCCACACTTCCACCTCTTCCACTCTACAGCCACTGCCCCAGCCATGCTAGCTGTTTCTCTCCCAGGAAAACTAGGCAAAAGCAACTGGCACAGGAGGCGGGGAGGGGGCTGTGCAGAGAGATGGCCCCGGAGGTAGTGGCAGCAAAGAAGGCCTGAGTGTCCCAGGGAAGCTGGGACACCTAGAAAGACAAACACCTTGCTTCTGTTCGGCTCTGGGGCCACTTCTTCCAGGTAGCTTTCCTGGCCTCCTCAAACTAGTTTGGGCTTCTTTTCGGGTCTACCCCTATACTTGTCCCGCCCCTGGCCTGCTCAGGCCCAGAGTCCCTGCGATCCGTGCTCCGTTCCGAGGGCTCCTCTCGCCGAGGGATGGGACTGCAGGTTCAGCTGCAGAGACCTGGAGGAGGTTTTGGAGCCAGGCGCAGTCCCATCCCCCATCCGGGCCGACCCCCGCGCCCCAGCCCTCCTCCGACTGGGCGCCGCCCCGCAGAAGCGACATCAAAGGGCCTGTGCCGGGAGCTCCCGCACCCAGGCTCGGGTCCGCGGCCTGCAGCTCAGAGGCCCCGGCAGGACCCTGAACGTCGGGGCCACCCCCACCCGGGGGGTCTCTGGGAACCGAGTTAGGGTCCGAGTTACCCAGACTGGGCTCGGGGGGCGGGCCCACGGAGCCCCCCGGAGTGGGAGGGTCGCACGGCCGCGGGGCCAATCCCGGCGCGCAGGGCGCGGGGGCGGGGGCCGGGCGGCGGGGGCCGGGGGCGGGCGGCGGGGGCGGGGCGCGGCGTCCGGGCGGCGGCGGCGGCGGCGGCTCCTCAGTGTCCGGCTCCGGCTCTTGCGGCGGCTCCAGCCCGCGATGCCCCACTCCGTGACCCTGCGCGGCCCTTCGCCCTGGGGCTTCCGCCTGGTGGGCGGCCGGGACTTCAGCGCGCCCCTCACCATCTCGCGGGTGAGTCCGGCAGCCGCGGGGCGGAGGGGCGGTGCGGGGTCTGAGACTAGGTCCTCTCAGTCCACCCATGGACGCAGATCCCCGACGTGTCCGAGGCTTGAAAGCAGAGGGCTGGCCCGGGTGACCCGCGTGTGCCGTGGCGGCCTGCGGGCAGGCCAGCGCCGCGCCGTCCCCTCCCCGCCCCGCGCGGGGCGTACCATCCGGTCCGGTCCGGTCCCAACCCGTCCCTGGAGGATCGCCCTGGTTCGCACGCCGGCCCCCCGGTGGCCGCAATCGCTGGGGAGTGCCCGTGGGCTAGGGGAGGACCTGCAGATACGGGCCGGGGGTCTGGAGAAACTTGCAGAGGCCCAGACCCAACTCTACCCAAGAATTGGGGCAAAATGAGCGAGGGCGCCCCGCCCCCATGGAGGGGCCCTGCGGGGAGCCCTGGTGGCTCTGGGGGTCTGAGTCCTCTGCGAGTCCCAGAGGAGAAGGATCCAGCCACTCCCTACTCTGGGCTTCAGTCTCTCCCCTGCCCTCAGTCCTCCTAAGGGGGAAGTGACCAGGAGGAAGCTCTCAAAAGGGACACCTCAATCCGAGACTGTGAGATGGCCCACCTCCCTGTAGACCACCCAGGGGTCTACAGGAGCAGGGATAGCTTCAAGCGCAGTTCCTCAAGGCCCCCCAGAGTGCAGCTCTGCCCCAGCTTGGGACAGAGGAGGAAGAACAGGGAGCATGACCCCAGGGGACCTGAGGACTTTGAGGAGAGAGAGCAGAGCAGGGGACCTGTGCCCACTCTGTGGGAAACAGGTCCTGGCCCCGTCTTGGAGTCCCCTTTTTTGGATGAACAGAAGAGAGGACTTGGGTCCTGCCTTTGGGAATACTCCACCCAGGGGACAAAAGAGGAGAGAACCCAGGCCCCCGCCGTACAGGGTCCCAATCTGGAGGGGCCCTGGGCCACCCCCTTGCCCCACAAAAGCCCTGGTCCTTGGGGACCTGTGTCAGGGGAACTGAAACCACCTGGCCCCACCCAGCTGCCACCCCCTGCTCAGGGTTGGGCGGGGCCCCTGGGCTCTGGGAGACCTCTGTGCAGTTCTTGGGAGGGGGTGGCACTGAGCAGAGCGTGGAATCCTGGAATCCGTTTCTGGGGACTGGGGTGACAGGCAGGCCCAGCTGTCCCAGGAGCTTCTCACATCTGCCCTCACAGCCAGGTCCCTGGGGCTGGGGGAGGTGGGCCTACCACACATCCGGGGGCCTTTGAAGTGCCCTGTCCCTGCGGGATCCGTGCTGGCTGTGTGTGCGCACACAAGCGTCTGGGTCTGCCTGTGTGTGTCCCGCGGCGCGGGCTGGTGGGGCGCTAGGCGGGCCAGCAGGCCAGGCACCCTGGGCGTGAGGCCGCTGACAGGCTGGGCTGCAGCGGCTGACGGCCACAGGCGGCAGAGAGCTGAGACATCTGTTGCCCACGCGGCCGCCTGCCCGCGGAGGAAAGGCCGCCACACGTCACAGCGGCGGCGGTGGGCGGCCTTGTTTGGAGCTGATCGGGATACAGGGCCCTGGCAGACAGGCAGTGTGGGAGAGAGTTTGCCAAGAAGAGCCCCCCCTGTTCCCCAAAGTCACGCGGCTGCAGCTCAAGCCTAAGGAGCCGGGATGGCTGAGCCTAGATTTGGTTGAGATCTGGGGGGATTTACAGGACTGGGGATGCACAGGCCACAGCTTGCCTGGCAGCTACCTACAGGGATGGGGTGATACGTGGGAGTGTTCTCACAAGGGGGCTAGGATCCAGTCCTTGTGCTGTGCTCCCAGGCTCCCCCTCCCGGGACCTTACTCATACAGAGGAGGCTGGCTGCCTGGCGGGGCTGCAGGCTTCAAGCCCAGCCCTGAAGCTCTGGGGATCCCCGAGCACATTGTCCAGGACTCCTTCCCCGCAGACAAACCATAGTGATGGCTGCCTTTGGCTGAGCACCCACTGCATGCCAGGCCCTACCCTCGTGGGTGTTGATACCAGCCCCCCAGCAACCAGTCCCTGGAAGCAGCTGCACTGAGCCACATGCCTGACTTCCTGTGGGGGCTGTTGGTGCCCTGATTGTCTCTGGTAGTCCCACAACGACTTTGAGAACAGAGCAGTCCTCTGGCCTCACATTGAGCATGGGGATACTGAGGCATGGAGAGGTACATTAAGCGGTGTACCCAGAGAAGCAGAGCAAGGGCAGGGATCCATGCCTGGCCAGGGTTTGCTGTGATGGTATGGGGACCATGTGGCATCTGACTCTGATTGTGACCCCCTGCCCACCACGGTGTCTGAGCTGGCTGGAATGGACGCTGCGATGCAGCCGCTGCGGGGGCCTGCTACCTGCCCTCACTGCCCAGTCTCCCTTCCTTTTATCAGTTTATCCTGCACTCAGCAGCTCGAGGGCCTGGCCTGGATTCAGTTCCGACCTGTCATTTCCCTGCTTAGAACCTTCCGTAGTCCCCAGTCACCCATCAGAAAAGGCCCTGCAGGATGTGGCCTCCACCTGGTCTCTCACCTCACCTGCCGACTGTTCCCTCACCAACAATGATATAGCCACACAAACGTCCCTCTACCGTCTCCCAGATGAGTCCTTGTGTGTGCTGGTCTGTCTACCTGGAACATTCGCTCCACACAGGATACTGTCTCCTCTCCCTCTGCAGACAAGCGTAGTGGTTAAGAGCATAGGTTTAACGCACTGTATTAAATATATAAGGTCTTATCTATGTCGGTTTGATTACAGAACCAATAAAGTATTCTCTTAAAAAAAAAAAAAAGAGCATAGGTTTGGGTTGGGAATCGGTGGACCTGGAATAAAATCCCGAGTCAGCTGTTTATCAATCCCAGGTCCTTGTGTGCTTCTCTGGACTTGGGTCCTTCGTCTAGGAAACAGGCTTGCCTTGAGGATGAAGACAATGCCTGTCAGGGTGGCTGGGAGAGTCAGGGTTTCCTGGCCTCGTGCCCTCTCTGACCAGAACTCTCCTAGCTAAACGGGGCTGGCGGCATCCCAGCCGCCCCTGCTTTCAAGAACTTCCTCCGCCCACAGGGGCCTGAATGGACCCCTTGTGCTGGCTGAGTCATCCTGCAGCTAGCCGCCCCCTGAGGAAGAAGACTCCTCCAGTGTGGGGACTCGGGCAGGGCACCCGCTTTTTTCATCTGTAAAGTAGGAACAAAACTGCCTCTGCCTTGCCCAGTGATTGACAGTTGGCTGTGAGCTCATCGGGGTTAAAGCACTGAACCCCTTGGAAGGTGTGGGGGAGGGGACCAGAGCAGGTCCCTGAAGGGAGGGGTATGGTGCCAAGTGGGCGTGTCCCCAGGGGGACAGGCTGAGCAGGTGCCCAGGCCCTATATATGCACATTCATGAGAGGCTGGCGGGCTGAGGGTGTCACACTTTGGAGAGGAACATTCCTTGAGGAATCCTATCTCAGGGTGGGTCAGTTTAGCAAGGCAGTTTAGCACCCAGCAGTGCCTCAGCTTTGACTGCATACTACTGGGAACTGGCTGGACTGAGCCTAGCTGGGTTTCCAGGAACCCACTCCCACGAATAGGAACGGGGTCACCCGTGGCCTTTGAGCCATGGCTTGGCATTGGTTGGAGATGCTATAGAAGAATGAGGGTGCTTCAAGCCTGTTTCCAAGGGTGGGCTGGGGCTGGAACAGGGTGACTGGTGCCCTTTTTCCAGAATCCCGCTGGATTCCTTACTCAGCCTCTCTGTGACTCTGTCTCCACCCCCTCCGTGTGGGCTTCGTCACATGCCTAGTATTGTAAGAGTCTCCAGTTGTAGACAGTGCTTGGTCCTATGGGGTCATTGGTGACACGGGGGTGGCCTTAGTGCCTACCTTGCAGGACAGGTGGAAGAGGAATCATGATCCCACAATGCAGGCTGGCAACTGGAACTAGAAGGCCTTGGACTTGCCTGGGGAGGTGATGTTCAGATCTGCACACTGTAACTGGAATGAGCCACATAGGGGACAGAGGTGGGAAAGGGGGCATGCAGGTACTGAGAGAGCCCAGAGGAGAGGCTCCCAGGGGAAGTAGCCTTTATGTGGAGACCTGAAGGGTGAGGGGAAGTAAGCTAAAACCTAGGACCTGGAGTCAAAGGAGAGAGGTGCAGGTGGAGGGAAGGTGTTTGCAGAAGCGTGGAGGTGGCAGGTAGTTGGAGAAATTCAGATGGGCTGGACAGGGTGTGGGTGGGAGGAGGTGAGTGCAGAGTGAGAGTGCGTCGAGATCAAACAGTCGAGCACCAAGGTCACTAAGGGCTTGCATGTTAGGTTAAGGAGCTGCAATGCAGTCTGGCTAGGTGGGGCATTGCCGTGTAGGGCATTAGTGACACATCCAAGCTTTCTATGTATCTGTGAGTACATATGTCCTATGTGTGTGTTCCTTGCATGTCCTTGGCATATATGAAACCTGCATGAATGACATCCTACTCGTCCCAGCCCTCTCATACATCCTCAGCCTTCATTAGGCCTCCAAGAGCTGGAGTCGGGAGGGTGTATGGAGCAGAAGCTGCAGCAAAGCCACAGGGCGACCTCAGCCAGCTTGTTGGCTTGTACACCCACAGGTCACACTGGTGGCAGGGCCACACTGGCCAGAATCTCAGGGTGCAGGAGGTGTAGAGCAGAGCCTGCAGCGGGCCACATAATGACTGTGTCCAGCCGTCTGGCTTGCCCGCCCACAGGTCCATGCTGGCAGCAAGGCTGCGCTGGCCGCCCTGTGCCCAGGAGACCTGATCCAGGCCATCAACGGTGAGAGCACAGAGTTGATGACACACCTGGAGGCACAGAACCGCATCAAGGGCTGCCATGATCACCTCACCCTCTCCGTGAGCAGGTATGCACAGGGCAGGCTGGGCCAGAGGCTGGGGGAGCAGGAGGAGGCAGTTACAGTCAGCCAGTGGCCTGGGTGTGCTGCAGCTCCCAGGCACCCCACTAGGCAGGTCCTGTTCAAAAGAGTAGTGATTGCGGGGAGGGGGCCTGCTGGGCACTCTTTACAGCTGGGAGTAGCTTAAGAAAAAAGAAGCCCCCTTTGCATTCAAGGCTGGAAATGTGTTGGGCTCTGACGGCAGGAACTGCAGGCAGCTGAAGGAAGGCCTTGGGTGTCCTCTCTGGTGTTTATTTCAGTCCTTTCTCTTCCCCAAGGGACCACCTGGATGACCATTTCAAAGCAACTTCTTGCCCAATCCCTCATATAACCCTCAAGCCAACTTAAATGGGTAAAACCTGTTATAATTCCCACTTTAAGGTGAGACAACTGAAGCTCAGAAAGATGGGGGGGGTGGCAAAATCTGACCCCAGGCTTCTCGCTGCTGAACTAGTCCCTTCCTTTGGCTGTGACCACTCCCGCCAGCACCCTGCTGCCTGGTCTCAGCAGAACCCGGCATGGCCCATGCTCCGCTCTGGTGAAGCCTGGATCTGAGATGAGCTTGCTACCATGGACTGTGCACTGCGTCCTGCCCATCATGAGGGGAAGGTAGCAGTCACCAAGGCCCACCTGTGCTTCGTAGATGGTGCCAGGATAGAAGGTCCCCCTGAAGGGTCCCGCAGCCGTCCTCAGGTCCAGAGACTTTTGTCAGCTCCAGCAGGCAGTTGGCCTAGTCCAGGCTGAGCAGGATCTCTCTGGACCCAGAGAAGTCAGACCCACCTGCTCAGCTCTGCCATGTTCACGTTAACAGGGACTTTCCACGATTCTTGTGGAAGTAAGTGGGCAAAGCCTCCCCAAACCACAACATAGCTAACCATGCATTAGAGCTGGCAGGGCAGGAGGTGATGTGTTGGCTCGGAGCCATTAGACATGGTGGGAAGGCTTATGAGGTGGCCCCATTTGTGTCTGGCCCAAGTCCGGCTGAGGTCGGCACCCCTGGCTGCGTCCTTGGTACTGAGAGGGCCCAGCAGCAAGTCCTGGTGCTCCCCTTGGCACGTGGTGAGGACTTCCTAGCCAGAGCTGGTCCTCATCCAGACTCTGGGATCTTAGGTACCCAAATGACCTCTGTGAACTTGGATTTCCTTTCCCATAAAAAGTGGATCGTGTTCATCACCTTCTCCCAAACTGAGATATGGGCCGAAGAAGGGAACTGTCAGCACTGCTGTGCCCACGAACGGCCTCTGAGGCCTCCTCGCTTGGCTGGGTTCCTGGGCCCTGACTCACCTCCGGCTTTGCCTCTGTGCTGCTGAACAGAGACAGCCCGGGTGGTGTGCAATGGGGGAGGCTCGCAGCGGCCTGAGTCAGGAGATTCCCAGAGAGAATGATGTCAGGGAAGGGTGTGGGGTGGAGGTCCCCCTTCCTTCCTTCTCTGGTCATTTGTTCCAAGCCAGGCATAGAAGGAGCCAGGAGTTCCAGCCCCAGGGCCACCTAGCCGTGGAGCAGATGAGAGTGCATTCTCTGTTGTCACAGAGCTGGACTCTATCCCGGTTCCGCACTTAAAGACCTGTGCTGTTCCTCAGCCAGTGATCTAGTCTCTGACCCCTAACTTCCGAACAGACGCTGCCTTGTAACCCGGGCACTGTGCGATAATGCGGTACCAGGCCTGCTCAGTCGGGCCCTCCAGCCCCCCATCTCCAACCCCCACATATGCACACTCTGGGGGATCAAGACGTGGGAGCCACCTTCCCCCCTGCCAGCCCTCCGACCCAGTACCCTTACTGCCTGCCGTGCTAGGACCTGGGTTTGGGCCCTAAAGACACATTCTCCCCTTGCAACATATGCCTTGTGCAGGATTAGCCTGGTTTGCCAGCGGCAGTGGGCTGCTCTGTGCTCCTACTGCAGGGACCTTTACCAGGAGCAGCTTTTGCGACCTGCCCTGAGTGCACAGAGAAGTATAGTCAAGGCCCAGCTCCCCTGCTAGGCTTATTTTGTCTGGAGTCCATAGCTAGGCATCTGACAATACAAGTTAACCCATACTTCCTGGGTATGTCCTATAGGTCCAGGTCCTTCCTGGCACCAACTCTAACCTTGGGGTTCTTTGGGGAGTTCCTATTGTGGGCCACAGTGCCTTTGCCCAGCCCACTCTTCAGCTATCATTTTATTTTAAATGGGTAGGTGGAGCCACCTGCCCAGTAGGAAATGGGGTTTTGGGGTGAAAGCTGACACCTAAGCCCTTCATTCTTTTTTGTTTTTTAAAGATTTATTTTTATTTGAAAGTCAGAGTTACGCAGAAAGAGATCTTCCATCTGATGGTTCACTCCCCAGTTGGCCACAACAGCCGGAGCTGCACTGATCCGAAGCCAGGAGGCAAGAGCTTCCTCCAGGTCTCCCATGCGGGTGCAGGGCCCAAGGACTTGGTCCATCTTGTACTGCTTTCCCAGGCCATAGCAGAGAGCTGGATTGGAAGAGGAGCAGCCAGGACTAGAACCGACACCCATATGGGATGCCGGCACTGCAGGCCAGGGCGTTAACCCACTGTGCCACAGCGCCGGCCCCCAGTCCTTCATTCTGATCTGATTCCTTGGGCCATTCTCATGGCACAGAACACTTTGTGCCCTCTGACCCTTAGACTTGTCCTGGTCTTCTGGGGAGCATTTCAGGGAAGTTCTATAGCCAGCCAGCCACACGAGATATCTGATTCCTTCCCGTGGGGCAGGTGGAAGCTGCAGAGCTGTGAGTTAGGCAGTCCCTCAGGAGCCTGGAGACAGCCGCTGCGGGGCGGGGTTGCCCAGGGGCAGCAGATCTCCATACCAAGGGCCCCTGGAAGACTGTGGGGTAGGAAAGCAGCCTGCCAGGGGCTAAGGGGTGTGCAGAGGTGAGTGTGGACTGCAGGTGTAGGCAGATTATTAAATCACTTGGCTGACAAGGGGAAAGAGACAGGTTTGAGCTTCTAGGCCAGCGGTGAAACCTCAAGAAGCCTCAGGGGCCCTCTTGGGCCCAGTTGGGGGATGTTATTCCCCTTTGGTTTCACTTCACGTCCCACTCCCAGTCCAGGGCGTGCACCCTCCTGGCCTGCCTTCTCCCAGCGCTACTGAGCAGCAGGGCTGGGCCCGAGGCCCATAGCCTCTAGGCCCGCCTGCCTTGCTCATGGCAGGTTTATGATGTTTTTCCCCCTCCTGAGTGGTGTTTGGCTTTTGGTTTCTATGGCGAAGCAGGAATTTCCTAATGGCCTGTTTCCCATCTGGGCTGGGCAGACATCGGTGATGACTGTGTCGGCAGCAGTGGCTACAGGGGGAACGGCACGCCCCACAGAGCCTCCCGTCTACCTCCCACAGGAGGATGGACGCCCGACCCCCAGGCCCAGGCCAGAGGCTGGGGATGGCTGAAGGATGAGTCGGCGGCCTCCTAGCTGGTCTTATGTAAGGCCTAACTTGCCTTGTGTGGGCTGGGCCTTTCTGATCGGAGCTTCTGTAGGGCACAGAGAGTGTGGAAGAGTGGAGAAGCTGCAGGGCTTCTACTGCACCCTTTCCAGGAACGAGACCAGAGAGCACTGGGGCGGCTGGCAGGGGAGGGAACACACAGCCCTGCCCAGGGGGTTGAAGATCTGACCTTGTGGCTCCATGCTGCCATGGACACCATCATGGTACATGGAGAAAATGCTGAGGTGGTGTCCTCCTGCAGGTCCAGGCCTGGTCCTGGGCATGGCTCTGGGCTCAGAACCCACCCCTTTTGGTTCTGGGTCTGGTTCCCGGGTGTGGCCAGCATTGTAGGCAGATGTATCTGACCATCCCAATTCCTGCTGCAGGCCTGAGGGCAGGAGCTGGCCCAGTGCCCCTGACGACGGCAAGGCCCAGGCACACAGGATCCACATTGATGCTGAGGCTCAGGTATGTACAGACACTGCCTGGCCCGGCCTGGCCTGGCTCAGAGTGCGACCGGGGCAAAGGGACCACGCTTGGTCCATGGAGTCACCTGCCTGGGGTGTCTTCACTGTGCCTCTCTGATGCACAGGACAGAGCCTGAAGCAGAGGCCTTTCTGACCTGTGCCCACATTTCTCAGGTGATGAGCACCCAGTGGGGGTTCTGTCTCTCCTCTGGGAAGTCCTGGGCTCTAGACGGAGGTCCCTGTCATGGGCAGGGGCTGGGCCAGACCTTGAACACGTGACTAGTGTTCACTCTGGTGCCCAGTGATGCTTCCTAGCAGGAAATCACCAGGTTGGCAGGGGTTAGGGCTGGGGGTGGTGGACGCCTCGAGCTGTGGAATGACTTGGGTGCTATACCTTCTTTCCTGGCCTGACTGTACCCTGCAGATCTGTCACAGGAGTCCCAGTTCTGTTCCTGTCCTCAAGGAAAAGGAGGGGGCCAGGCTGCTCTAGGTCTCATTTTGCCATGGCCACATGGGTGAGACTGAAGTATCCAGAGGCAGCTCGACACCTCTGGGCCACAGATTTGGGCAAGGTGGAGATGGGGCTGGTCTGTGATAGAGCCAGCACCATGGGACTAGCATGTGGGTCCATGGTTTCCTGGGCTTGCCTTGTCCAGTCTCAGCATGGAAGAAAAGGGACCAGTTGAAGAAGAAAAGGCGTCACTGAGCCAGGGACAAGGATCTGCCTTGCCACCCCTGCCCCCAATCCTGGTCCCTGTCCTGCTCTCCTTGGTCCGCATCCCCAAGGCCAGCTGCTAATCATATGCCCAGGGGGTACCCACCCTGGCAAGGGAGAGACACATAGAAGTTCTGGGGTAGGTGGAGCCCAGAGTAGGCAGAGGACTCAGCCCAGGGGGTCAGAGAAGGCTTCCTGGAGGAGGAGGTATGTGAGCCAAGACCCAAAGGCCTAGGAAGAATAAGGCAGGCACAGGGTCATGGAAGAGGAAGTGTGTTCAGGAAGCACACACAAAGGCCCAGAGGTGACACTGTGCACACCGATTCAGAGATCAGAAAGGTCCTGGGGGTGGGAGGGTAGAGTGAGGGATGAGGTGGGGCAGGACCACAGAGAAGCTTTGGCTTCCTCTGGGACCTCAGCTATTCTTGCAGGGGTTCATGGCCACATCTGTGTTTCAGAAGCTTGCTCTGGTGGCCCCGTGCACCCCAGGGCCCTCAGGACCCAGAGGGAGCAGATGCTGGCAAGGACAAGTCAACCAGGCTTGCCAAGGGGCAGGCAGAAGGGAGCAGCACAGTGTGGGCCCCTGGTGCATATGTGAGGCCCAGTTTCCCCAGAGAGATCAGGGCTGGGGCCTGAGGTTTGGAATTTGAAGCACAGCTGTGCTTAGGCTTCCAGGAAAGGCTCTGGGCCAGTGGGGTCTTGGGGGCTGGGGTCTAAGGAGCAACATCCCCTGCCCCAATGTTTACCCTCACTGACGCTTTCCAAGAACTGCTGGAGGCAGAGGGGCTTTCCATAAGCAGCACGGCAGCCCCTCAGCTGCTACCCGCCTTTTGTACTTAAAAGGTCATGGGCTCCATGGGTGGCGACAAAAACACCCCTACCCCACCCCTGCAGGGCTCTGTCCTCACCAACACACAGGGCCCATTGTCTCCACACTGCTCCCACCCTCTGCCTGCAGGCACCCGGTTGGGGGGGGGGGCTAGCTGTAGCCATCAGAGGAGGGGAAACCCACAGCTAGCCCTGAGACTAGCACAAGGTGCCTGTGGCCCATATCCCCAAGTGGGGTGGGACAGGGCCAACTGCAGCCTTAAGCCCACCTTCCCTGTATGGCCACTGGAGACCCTTCTCTTAGGCTGCAAGCGGGAACACAGGAGGCACTCAGCCTAACCAGAGTGGAAGGGTAGTGACAAAAAGTTTCCTGGAGAGGTACACTGAAGCTGAAAACCAGCTGCCTGGTAGAAGCCAGCCAGGTGGAGCAGGCACACTCAGCCAGTCCTGTCCATACCAGCAGAGCTGGGACTCAGTCACCTACATTCAAGCTGAGAGTCCCAGACTCTGACCTTGGTCTTGTGGCAGCTGATGAGCCAATAGATGGTTACCCCCTTCTGCTGAAAAACCCACGGAGGCTGCAGCTTCCAAGGCAGCAGCAAGCTGGTACTTGGGGAGAGGGGCGCATGTGGTGGGAGGTGCACCACCACCCAGAGAGAGACAGTCCAGGAAGTCCTATGACAGCCGTTCTTCCAATGGCATTTGCTGTGTGCCAGGCATGACGCTGAGTGCTTTGTGTGCAGCTGACTTATTTGATCCCTACAGGGAACCTAGTATTTAGAAACCATCACACTCCCCCATTCATGGATGAGAAACCTGAGGTTGCGAGAGGCAAAGAGACTTACTCAGTTAGTGAGAGAGAGAGCTGGGACTCATACAAAAACGGAGGTCACCACGTGTATCCTAACCACTGAGGTCAGAGCTAGGGCTGCTGCGTGGGTGGCCATGGGAGGGGCAGTGACTGATGACCCTCCGTGGACTCTCACACCCTGCTGAGTGCAGGCAAATGAAGGCCTCCCTGCTCCCAGGCCCTGGTCGCTCACACTCCAACTCCCCCTTCCCTGCCCCCACCGACCACAGCCCATCTGGTCCCCATTAGAGGCCAGCCTGGCCTGCCTGCCTGCCTGCCCGCCCGATAGAGACACATGTGTAAATGCTCAGGTTTCTCAGGGGCTTTTGTTAGGCTGGATGAAGATGGGGGTCTTGCTGCCGCTGGTTCTGGTGCTGCTGTTTTGATGGGGCCTCACTGGGCAGCAAGATGCTCCTCTGTGTCTGTTGGGACAGAGGAATTGAGGGGTCCTCACCTGACCCACCCTTTCCCCAAGCTCCCACCCTGCAGAAAGCAGGGGACAGTCAGGACCAAGCCCCACAGGCTCCGTTGAGCCCCAGTGCCAGCAGCTGCCTATCTGTAAGCCAGACCCTTTCCTACAAGGTTGGATGTCTCCTTCCACCCAGTCTCCCTGTCCACACAGTGGAACAGAGAGAAGATTTACATGTCACTTCCCCAGCTAAGATCTACCCCCATGGCCTGGGCTCAGGCCCAACCTAAAATCAAGCGCTACTGGTTGCCATCCCCGTCTCAGCCACAGAGGCTGCCCCCGGCTGCCCCACGGTGCCCCGTGCTGGCTGCAGGTGTATGTAACCATGCTGTGTGACTGGGTGTGTGCAGGTGGATAGTTGCCGCGTGTGTGTTGCCCTGTGCCTGTATGTGTCCTTCATGTACTTGTGAGAACGTGCATGCCTTGTTTGCCTTGCTACCTGTGTGCCTGCAGCACAGCACTCGGCTCTGCAGAGACCAATATCGCAGACCCCACTCAGACCCACACCCAGAGATACTGCATCTCTCCTCATGGCCTAAGGGGGCATGGTCAGGGCCCCCCTCACTGAGATGTTTCAGCTTGCTGTCATGGGGTAGCAGGACAGCAAGCCTTGAGCCCTGGCCCAGCCTCAGCTCCTCTTCTGCCATCCCTACAGAAGGCTACACACTGTGGCCTGGGAGGCAGGAAACAGGCTGCAGGTGCAGGCCCAGAAGGAGCTGACCTCCTGATGGTTACTCTTGAGCCTCAGCCTGCCCCCTAAATAGCCTTAGACACACAACTGAGGATCCTTCCTGGCTTCAGGACAGCGGTTACCTTTTTGTGTTCCCAGCAATGTGCCACGTAGTACCAGGCTCACCTCTGTACCAGGCACATGAGACCAGGACCACCTCTGCCAGGAAGCTACATACCAGCTGCAGCCCCCCGGGCCTGTGCCAACACCACCCCTCCCAGGCACTGCTGCTCAGGACCACCACAGGGCTGGGGAGGGCAGGTAGGGTCGCAAGCACTCAGGTCTTCATGTCTGACCTTCCACGGAGCTTTCTTATTTCTTTAGGGCCTGAGGCTCAGCCATTCCCCATGGACCCCTTCCCTGGCTGGGCACCAGAGTCCCAAGATGCCACAGCTGAGGTAGCCAGCCAGCTTCCACCAGGACATGGCAGAGCAGGGTCGGGGTGGGCGGACAAGGAACGGCCAGGAACAGAGGGGCTGGCAAGTGCCTTACCTGTCTCTCACAGGACTGCAGTCCAGCGACCAGTAGGCGGCCCTCCATCACTGGGATTGGGCCAGAAGAGGGCAGACCAGGCCTGGAATCTCCGTATGGACAGCCCCCTCGCCTTGCGGTCCCTCACAATGGCAGCAACAGCGAGGGCGTCCTGCCAGCCCAGATGAGCGCCCTGCACGTATCTCCACCCTCCAGGTAGTACAGACACGTCATGGTCTTTGTACACATGCCTGGAGCCCATCTTAATCCCATCAATCCCATCCAGACCCGTGCACCTGCTCCCCGGAACTCAGCTGGTTGGATTGACTCATAAAGCTTCACCAGACCGCCACCCCGCCCCCCAGCCGCGCCGGCTGAGGGAGGGCTGGAGCTGCAACCTGTCCCCTTCCCTGTCTCCTCCCGCCCAGCGCTGACCCAGCCAGAGGCGTCGCGCGGAGCCGGGACTGCAGAGTCGACCTGGGCTCAGAGGTGTACAGGATGCTGCGGGAGCCACCGGAGCCCACAGCCGCGGAGCCCAAGCAGTCAGGCTCCTTCCGCTACTTGCAGGGCATGCTGGAGGCCGGCGAGGGCGGTAAGCCCCACCCCCGCCGCCTTTTCCCTCCTTGCTGAGCACGACGCCTCTCCCAACTTTGCGACACCCCCCCCCAGTCCCGCTTCCCCGCCGTGCGCCCCTCCTAGGCGCGGGGGGCCCTCCCCACGCCCGCGACGCGCCACTCCCATCACTGCCCCTCGACCCTTGCGCACAAGCCAAGCCCTCTCCCCAGTATGGCTACCGACAGCCCCAAACACACACCCAGAAGAAATGGAGTCTGATAGCCCCACCCGCGCTCCGGTTTTCAGGGGAGCGGCCAGGGTCTGGCGGGCCACGGAACCTCAAGCCCACGGCCAAGCTGGGCGCCCCGCTGAGCGGCCTGCAAGGCCTGCCAGAGTGCACGCGCTGCGGCCACGGGATCGTGTGAGTACTCTCCCCGCCCCGCCTCTGGCTCCCCCGGACCCAGGTAGGGGCGCCCCGAATCCGTCCCCCGACGCCGCCCTTTCCCGCCCGCAGAGGCACCATCGTCAAGGCGCGGGACAAGCTCTACCACCCGGAGTGCTTCATGTGCTGCGACTGCGGCCTGAACCTCAAGCAGCGCGGGTACTTCTTCCTGGACGAGCGGCTCTACTGCGAGAACCACGCCAAGGCGCGCGTCAAGCCGCCCGAGGGCTACGACGTGGTGGCCGTGTATCCCAACGCCAAGGTGGAGCTCGTCTGAGCCCGCCCCTCCGCCCCGTGCCTGCTCTCTCTAGCTTCCGCGCGTGACCCGTGTAAATAGACGCTCCCCTAGCCTAATAAAGCCCCTCCGCCCCTCCTCCAGCGTGTCAGTGCGCGGGCGTGCCCCGCTCCAGAGCAGACCTCGGCCCCCGCGTGCTCTGAGACCTGTGCAAGGTGCCAAGGCGAGAGCGAGCCCGAGGCGCTGGGTGCGGTGGTGAGCCAGGCAGGCACCATGCCGGCCTCAGGCGCCACCGCCTGGGGAGATGGCAAGCCTGAGTCTCAAGGGGCAGCTGTACACCACGGACGTGAGGTGTGGGGCGCTGCCGCGCGACGTCCTCGGGTCCGATGTGGGTGGGGTCAGGGCCGGTGTCAGCAGCGAGCTAAGACATGAGCTAGGCGAGAGCGCCGCAGATGAGAACCGTGCGAGCCCAAGGGGGAGCGCAGACCTCGAACGCCCCGTGTGGCTGCCACCCTCTCCCCTCCGCGCGGCCTCCAGAGAGGTCGCCGCGGGACACGGTGGCCAGGAGGAGGTGGCCAGGGCCGCCGCAGGCTCCCACCTCCCGCCCACTCCATTCTTTTTCTTCCTGACCCGTTTGTTTCTCCCTTCCCGCTCTTCCACAGCAGGGGGCGCGCTTCACTTTCCAGCGTGAGACAGAAGGGTGTTTGTTTTAAGATAGAAAAAGACACCCCCTCCGGCTGCTGTCTCCTCCATCCGAGGGGAAATTCCACGCCTCCCGGGGGCTCCCGCAGTGCCTGCGCGGTGACCCTGCCCTGGGCCGTCCCTGCAGCGCACGGCAGGACAGACCCGCACTTATTAGAGACAGCAGTTGTGCTGTCCCGGAGGTGGTGAGCGGTGGCTGTTCTCCTCCGAGGACAGGTTCTGGACTCAGTCGGAGGCATCTGAACCGGAAGCCGCCTCCCTGCGTTTAGGGACCCTCGAGACGGGTGCGTTTGTGCGCCTGACCAGGGATAGGAGACGATCGGTTGATGCTTTCCCTGGCAGCACTCAACGAACCTGTATCCTCCCACTCTCGCCAACACAGGATATTATCAGTCCGTTTACACTGTGGCCGATCTGATAAGCGAAGCATGGTCTATAGTAGTGTTTTATTTTGCCTTTCTGATCGCCAGAGATGAACATCCAGTGACTTCAACACAGATTGATGGGTACTTGGTGGGAGCCAGTCCCCAAGGAAGCGGAGTGGACCTCACTAAGAGTGGTTCTTTTGTGAATTACACTAAACCCTTCACCTCTTTTCTCAAGGTGTGTTTAATGTCTTCTTAATGATTGGTAGGGACTTCTCATACTTTTGTAAGTCCTTGTCGCTGGATTCTATTCCTGCCATCTATTTTCCTACCCCTGTGACTTTTTAATTACCCCTGTGTTAGGGGGTAATTGTCTAACTCCTTGTTCTTCCCTTACAAGCATGTCAAGGCTATTCCTGTACATTTCCGATGGTCAGAAGTCTAGATTCTGTGCTTCAGGTCCTGGAAAACGGCCCTCTCTGAACCATGACTAATTGCCCTGAATCCCGAGGCTGGGGAGAATGGGCTTGGAGCACTTTCCTCCAGGAGAGAACTGTGATCGTACTTACTCTGCCTTGCTCTCGGCGTCGTGAGCATCTCATAAGTCTTTACTTGTGCTTTCTTCTCATAGATCTTCTGTCTGGAATTGGATTTGCTCTCGGGATTCCTTCCAAAGGCTTCTTCCCCAGTGCCTGGGAGAGCATAGCTCAGGGCAGTGAGCAGGTGCACCCAGGGTAGGGAGGCAAGGAGAGTAGAGCTGGAGTCCTGGACCCTGCCCCAGCAGGTGACCCAGACCCTGCCCCACCTTTGTCCCCTGTGGCTTCGTGAGGGGTCAGTGAGCAGCAAAGCCCCACCCATGTGATGGGGAGAGAGGACACCCTGTGCACACACCCTCTCCAAGGCCACCCTCTAACAGGGCGGGGCAGTGGGAGAGTCTGCCCTTCCCCCCCTTCTCACCCCACCCAGAGCTGTTCTGCGCCAGAGGGGATGACTGGCAGCCAGAGCACAGAAGCAAGTGGAAAAGCACTGAGAGCCACGAGCACCAGCCCCAGCCCTGCTCCACACTCACTTGCAAAACACTCAGCCCCCCACTGTCACCTTTCACACCATCTACCAGCCCCAGTGCCCACCTTAAACCGGGGGTGGGGGTGGGGGGGCTCAGTCTCATCCTCTGCCTGCAGGCACTACTCCCTAGATGGTGCTGTCCTGGCCCCTTGGTCCTGCCTGGGTGTCCTGCTGGCGGTGTTACAAGAGCAGTGAAGGGGAGTGGTACCCAGAGCTGCCAACCTAATTTATACTTTCCCAGACTCACAGCCCAGTCTCTAGTCCTGCACCCCATTTCTGCCCAGGGCCCTGGATGGGCTCAAGTGTGGTGGGCAGGATCTGTGTCCTGCGTGCGGAACAAAGCCTCGTGACCAGGGTTCCAATTCTTGGGAGAGGGGTCAGCAGATCCTGTCCAGGAGGGGAAGCCAGAGCCAAGCTCCCCAACTCTGCGTCCCAGACCACCTGGCCCATAACCAACTCTCACTGTTGTCCCCAGACTGCTCCACACACCCTCAGGTCCTTTCCTGGAGGCCTTCACAGGGACTGGACCTCAGCCTCTACAGCCTACTCTTCCCCCAGTCCAGAGCTCCGCCTCAGAAGCCTTTCTAGGGCATTTCCTTGCCTAAAGCCTTCTGGCCCTCAGGGCCCTGAGAGTCTGGGTTGTGGGTGAGCATTTCAAGCCCCTCGGACCTCAAGCTGCTGACTGCTTTGTTACCTCTGAGCTGTCACATCTCCTGGATCTCTTAAACACAAAGGGATTTTTTTTTGTTTTTCATCCAGCAAACTCCTACTCACTCTTTAAATCCCTGTTCCCTCCCCCAGCAAAGCCTCAGCCCCCACCCCTACCCCAGGCAGTGTCAGCAGTTCTCATCCTGTGTCCTCTACCCCACCCTTCCATCCCCGCCCAGTGCCTCTGGCACAACCTGTTATCTCCTGGATCAGAGCCTAGCCCAGACCTCTCTCTCTTTTCCCCTGACCTCAGGCCAGGCACTGGAAGGTGCACGAACACAGGCACTGGTCCTTCCTGCCTCCCAACACCCTCGTCTTCACCTCCTACTCCAGGTTATGCCAGAGCCCCTGGTGCAAAGCAAGTTTTTGTTTGTTTTTTAAGATTTATTATTTATTTAAAGTTAGAGTTACAGAGAAAAGGAGAGACAGAGCGAGATCTTTTACAGGCTGGCTCACTCCCCCAACAGCTGGCAGCTGGGCCAGGCCAAAGCCAGGAGCTTCTTCCAGGTCTCCCATATGGATAGCAGGTGTCCAAGCATTTGGACCATCCTTTGGTGGTTCCTGGGAAAGAAGTTTTAAGGGCCACTGCCTGCCCCTGCATCCTCAGTCTCCATTCATTCATTCCACTAAATGTTCTACCTTGCTACTTAAGCCTACTGTGTATCAGGCAGTGTGCTAGACACTAGGGAAACATTTTGAACAAACATATCAACCAGGTACAGACTGTAAATAGTGCTATCAAGGAAATAAAGAGGGTATTACAGTAAGGAATAAAGGATCACATAAGGAGTCTGGATATGGTAGGCAGGAAGGCAGATTGGCCCATGTGTGAGAGAGTGGCTAAAGTGAGCCAGTAGATAAAAGATATTCTCTCTCTCTCTCTGTTTGTCTCTAGTGAGAGAGAGAGAGAGAGAGAGAGAGAGACTTATATAGGGCGTCTCTTGCCCTTGGCTCACTCTCATATGGGCATCTCTGTTTCTGTGTGTGATATATACACTGTCTTTATGTGAATTCATGTAAGCCAAAGATAGCTCCTCTCTTTGTATCCGAGCACTCTCTTGTGTGACCGTGAGGAGTATATATGTTTTTGGTATGTGATCTAGAGTGTCTCACACACTGTGAGACACAGAGAGGGGTGCGTGTGAAGAGAGAGCCTCTCTTTTTGATTTTATATGTATGGGAGACTGGGTGTGCGCGCGCGCGGAGTGTCTCACTTTCACACATATTACTCAGTGTGGAGAAAAAAAGATATGTGTCTGTGCCAGTCATGTAGAGCTGACCTGGGAAGACAAAAGTTAGACATGGCTCTCTGCAAGTCCAGTTATGCTAAAATATGTGATTTGAATTTCTTGTATTAGATGAGATCTGGTGTCCAAATATCTCCTTTTTGTACCCCAAGATTAGTTTCCCTGTTCCAGCCCATTTTGGGGGGGCTCCCTGCCGGCTGATCTAAATCTGGGGCATTCTCCCAGACCAGAAGCAACTGGAACAATTGCCTTTCTATTTCTGGGCCCTTTCACCAGCATGCCCAGGTATCTGGCCTCTAGCGGACACTGCCCTTGCTTCAGTCCCAGCAAACCAGAAGAGGCAGTTGACATGCACATGAGATGCATTACCCAAGGCCCTTCCCTGGAGCCCCAGACAGTTTCAGACCCTAGGGGGCATTGAACATCTTGCCTGGGATCTACACTCCAGGGTGAGAGCAGTCTTCACAATGTGTTTGAAGCACCAGTGCCCCCTGAGTATTTTTCAGGAGTTTGCACCACAGCACCTGGGGCCCTTGACCCTACGAGGCATTGATCCTCAGCCTTCAGGGTGGTGCCAGCATTGGGCTGAAAATTTACAGCACTGGCCGGCGCCGCGGCTCACTAGGCTAATCCTCCGCCAAGCGGCGCCGGCACACCGGGTTCTAGTCCCGGTCGGGGCGCCGGATTCTGTCCCGGTTGCCCCTCTTCCAGGCCAGCTCTCTGCTGTGGCCAGGGAGTGCAGTGGAGGATGGCCCAGGTGCTTGGGCCCTGCACCCCATGGGAGACCAGGAGAAGCACCTGGCTCCTGGCTCCTGCCATCGGATCAGCGCGGTGCGCCGGCCGCAGCGCGCCGGCCGTGGCGGCCATTGGAGGGTGAACCAACGGCAAAGGAAGACCTTTCTCTCTGTCTCTCTCTCTCACTGTCCACTCTGCCTGTCAAAAAATAAAAAAAAAG